GTGGGTTCTGCTCCTTCAGAATTTGTTTAGAGCCATTTTTATGAGTATTTGGAGGGGTTTGGGGGAGAGCTCAAGCAAGCCACTACTTTCACTCCACAATCTTGGCTCCGCCCCCTTGGTTTTGTTATTTATATGATCAGTTATGCTGGTAATTTTCCTGCATTCCAGGAATGCAGCCCTGCATTCCTGGTATAAGTTCCACCTCGTCGTAGTATATTATCCTCATGATAAATTGCTGTAATGTCTTTGCTAATATTTTATTTTAAATGTTTGCATCAAGATTTATTAGTGAAATTGGTCTATAGTTTTCTGTCTCTGTTTTGGTTTTCTTGATTTAGGTATCAGCACCATATTTGTATCATAAAAAGAATTTGGTGGGACTCTTTCTTTGCCTATTTTTCCAAATGGTTTCTGTAGTATTGAATTAATTGTTCTTTAAATATTTGGTAGCATTCACTTGTAAATCCATCTTTCCCTGGAGATTTTTTTTAGGGAATTTGTTAATTGCTTATTCAATTTCTTTTTCTGAAATGAGGTTATTTAAATTTTTTTTTCTTCTTCTGTTAATCTGGGCAGTTTATAGTTTTGTAAATATTCATCCATTTCACTAAGATTGTCAAGTTTATTGGCATACAGTTGAGCAAAATAGCTCCTAATTGTTGTTTTAATTTCCTCTTCATTGGTGGTGAATTTTACCCTTTTCATTTTTGATACTGATAATTTGTTTTTTTTCTTTCTGTTTTTTAATCAAATTAACCAAAGGTTTATTTATTTTATTGGTTTTTTTGTAGAAAAGCCCTTAGTTTTATTCGTTTAATAGTTTTCTTTATTTCAATTTTATTAATCTCTCCTTTGGTTTTCAGTATTTCTAATTTGGTGTTTAATTGCAGATTTTTAATTTGTTCTTCTTCTAGCTTTTTTAGTTGCATACCCAATTCATTGATCTCCTCTATCTCTATTTTATTCATATAAGTATTTAGAGATATAAAACTTCCCCTAAGAATCCCTTTCCATGCATTTTATAAGTTTGGTATGTTGTCTCATTATTGTCATTCTCTTGGATGAAGTTATTGATTGTTTCTGTGATTTGCTGTTTGACCCACTCATTCTTTAGAATTAGATTATTTAGTTTCCTATTAATTTTTAGTCTGTCCTTCCATGGTCCTTTATTACCAGTAATTTTTATTGCATCATGATCTGAAAAGGATGCATTTAATATTTTTACCTTTCTTCATTGAACTGTGAGGTTTTTATGCCCTAATACATGGTCAATTTTTGTGTAGGTACAATTTACCTCTGAGAAAAAGGTGTATTCCTTTCTGTCCCCATTCAGTTTTCTACAGAGGTCTATCATACTTGACCTTTCTAAAATGCTATTCACCTCCTTAACTTCTTATTTATTTATGGTTAGATTTATCTAATTTTGAGAGGGGGAAGTTGAAGTCCCCCATTAGTATAGTTTTGCTGTCTTTTTCTTCCTGTAACTCCCTAACTTCTCCTCTAAGAATTTGGATGCTGTTATATTACTTCATTGTCTATGGTATCTTTTAGCAAGATGCAATTTCCTTACTTATCTCTTTTAATTAGATCTAATTTTGCTTTGGTGTTGTCTGAGATCAGGATTGCTACCCCTATTTTTTTTTTCTACTTCAGCTGAAGCATAATATATTCTATGTCTTCCTTTACTCTATGTGTATCTCTAAGCTTCAAATGTGTTTCTTGTAAACAATGTATTGTAAGATTATAGTTTTTAACCCGCTTTACTATCTGCTTCCATCTTAGGGGAGAGTTCATCCCATCCACATTCACAGTTAGGTCTTTCTCTCCATCCTGGTTTCTTCCTGTTTATACTTTTTTCTCTCTTTTCACCTATTCTCTCCTCACTAGTGTTTTGTTTCTGACCACTGCCTCCCTCAATGAGCCCTCCATTCTACCATCCCCACTCCTTTTTCTTTCCCCTTTCTCCTCCTACTTATAAGGTAAGATAGAATTCTATACCCAACTTAATATGTATGTTATTCCGTCTTTGAGGCAAATCTGATGACAGTAAGATTCAAACAATGCTTACCCTCCCCTTCTTTTCTTCTACTAAAATAGATCTTTTGCACCCCTTCATGTGATGTAATTCACCCTATTCTGCCTCCCTCTTTTTCTTCCCCTCCATTACAATCCTTTTTTTCATTCCTTTTTTAAAATCATCACATCAAAGTCAACTAATACCCACACCCTCTATCTATATGCCTTCTAACTGCCCTCATAAAAATACAGTTCTCAAGAGTTACAAGTATCATCTTCCCATGTAGGGATGTAAACAGTTTAACCTTATTGAATATGTTTGGTTTTTCTTTTTTCTTTCCTGTTGACCTTTTTGTGTTTCTCTTGAATCTTGTATTTGAAGATCAATTTTCTGTTCACCTCGGGTCTTTTTATCAGGAATGATTGAACATCTCCTATTTCATTGAATGTCCATCTTTTCCCCTGAAAGATTATGGTCAATCTTGCTAGATTGTTGATTCTTGGTTGTAATCCTAGCTCTTTGCCTTCCAGAATATTGTATTCCAAGCCCTCTAATCCTTTAATGTAGAAGCTGCTAAGTCCTGTGTGATCCTGACTGTGGCTCTAGGATATTATTTCTTTCTGGCTGCTTGTGATATTTTCTCCTTGACCTGAGAATTCTGAATTTGGCTACAATATTCCTTGGAATTTTCATTCTTGCCCAATTCTGATTTTTAAGGAACTATTTTCTTCTCCGAGCTTTTGTATCTCCTTTTCCATTTGGCCAATTCTGCTTTTTAAGGAGTTCTTTTCTTCAGTGGATTTCCCCCCCCATTTGGCCAGTTATATTTTTAAGGGATTGTTCTCTTCGATCTGTTTTTAATGTATTCTTTTCCAAGCTGTTGACTCTTTCTTGCATTCCTTTCATTTCTTTTCCCAATTTTTCTTCTACCTCTCTAATTTGACTTTTAAAATCCTTTTTGAGTTCTTCCAAGAAGGCTTTTTGGGCTTGAGACCAATTCATATTCCCTTTTGAGGCCTCTAATGTAGGTATATTGACAATGTTGTCCTCTTCTGAGTTTGTGTTTTCGTCTTTCCTGTCACCGTAGTAACTTTCTTTGGTCAGTGTTTGGTTTTGCTTCTTGATAATTTTTTTTTCTTTTGCCCTATTTCATAGCTTTTAAAGTTGAGCTCTTCTCCTGGAACACAGGGGGCACTGTCCCAAGCTTGTTGTTCTGGGAGCCAGGGGCCTAGGCAGTGGCTTTGTGTACTGGGGCCCCAAGTGCTAGTGGCTTCCTCACTGTTCTGGGGTGGCCTGGCCTAATTGCACCTGTTGTTGTCTGGTTTCCCAGGCTGGCAACTTGCCTTCTGCACTGGGGCTATAGAGGCCTCACAGATGGCCTCCTGAGCCAGGACTGATAGGCCTTAGTTACTGATCCGTACTGTGGCTAAGACCCTCCCACTGGCTTGCTTGGATACCAACTGCACTAGGCTGCACTCCACTTTTACCCAAATGAGACAGATCTTTCCTGAAGTCCTTCTAAGTTATCTTAAGCTGGAAAATTGTTTCACTTCATCTTTTTATAGGTTCTATTGTTCTAGAATTCATTTAGAGGCTTGATTTAACAGGCAACTTCCTGGCTTCTCTCCATTATCTTGGCTTCACATCCTGGTCTAATAATTCTTCAGTGGTCTCTCCTTTACCGTTTTCCAAGTTAGTTTTTTTCCTATAAGATATTTCACACTTTCTTCTATTTTTTTAGTTTCTTAACTTTGTTTTATTGTTTCTTGATGTCTTATGTAATCATTCACTTCTACTTGATAAATTATAATTTTTATGGAGTTATTTTCTTCGGTGAGACTTTGTACCTTTTTGCCTATGATTTTTAAAGAGTTATTTTCTTCAGTATTTCTTAACCTCTTTTACCAAATAATTAATTTTCTTTTCATTATTTTCTTAACTGACACTCTTTTTTCTCTATTTTTCCTCTACTACCCTCATTTGATTTTTTAAAAAATGGGTGATTTTGTTGCCTTTTTTTTTCCTTTTTTCCCCTTTCTTTAGGTCTTCTAGAAATTCTTATTGGGCTTCTGTCCAAACTATATTTTTCTTTAAGGCTTTGCTTGTAGATGTTTTCAAGTCATTGTCTTCTTCTGTGTTTGTATAATTCCTTATCACCATCTTTTTTTATGATTAGGTTCTTTTTTGTTTGTTTACTCTTTTTTTTTTCCAGCCTATTTCTTGACTTTGGACTTCATTTAGAATTAGGGGCTGATTACCTCTGGAGATTAAGAGGAATGTTTATCCTGAGCCTCTGTCTTTTATGAGCTTCTGTTGCTTTTACAACTCAGTGGATTTAAATTTTTGGTGCTTCCAAAGTGGTGTAATATAGAAAGAAGTCTTGTACAGGTAGCACTCCTGCTCACAGGTGTCTGCAAACTCTTTTTGCCCAGGAACTGCATCCCCAGTACTGGGTAATGGGCAACAGAGTCACCAAATGGCTCCAAATTTTACTCCCAGTACTAGCACAAAGGTCCCCTGGGGTTTCTTTCTGACCAGATGTGCAGTCCCCTTAACATTCCAAGGTACTTGGCTGTACTCACTGCTACTCCACAGCTGGTGCTGCTTATGCCATACCATACTTCCAACCAGCCTCTACCCCAGTTGTCCACAGGCCTCTCTTTCCAAGTTTAACTGGTCTAGACAAATGATTCATTATGACTTATTGTTGTTTTTCCCACCTAGAATTTGGTTTAACACATTTTTTTAAGTTGTTGTAGGAGGTATGTTGAGAAAGCTCAGCAAAAATGCTGAATTCACTTTACCATCTTTGCTTTGCCTCCAAGGTGTCTATTTCCTACAACATATAAGAGATCAAACTAATATCTTTTAGTGTGGAGGAAGGATTACTTTAAATGCAAGGATAAATTATTCACTTATAAAATTTTAGGTTCTAAGCAATATGGCTAACCATTTAATATTTCTGTTCTTTGCTTTCCTACAGTCCTCTGCTAGCTGTATCTTTTGCTACATGCTGTGCCATTCCAGGAATCTCACTCCTGACTTGGGGGGTAAATCCACTCACAGGAGTTTTGGGTGCTTTCAACATTTTCCTGTACACCTGCTGTTATACACCTATGAAAAGGATTAGTATTGCCAACACGTGGGTGGGAGCCCTCGTTGGAGCCATCCCACCAGTCATGGGCTGGACTGCAGCTACTGGTAGCCTTGATGCTGGTGAGTAGCTAGTGACATAAAATGTTCTTTCTCTCAATAGACAGTTGAAACAGATGTCAAGAAACTATGTTTCTGTATTTTCCCTAGCACTGAAAAATGGTTTTTATGTTCCTCCATGTTCATTACCAATGTTATTAACAGATGTGCTGCTGACACACTTTAAATTACTAAAAATTTGGAACCATGAAGAAATTCTCTATTTTCTGACTCCATTCTATAGTCTGTCAGAGCAGATATGAGTCTGTCAGAGCAGATATGATACACATTTTCATTTTGGAGGGTATGGGAGGAAAAGGGAAGTGAGAAAGAGTACTGCATTAATACACTGACTATAATATAATAAAAAAAAAAAATGTAAAATTCCTAATCCAAATGCAAACACTTGTGCTGTCAAATTGGTGGTCAGAGTCTACCACTTAAAGAGAGAAGTTAGCCAGTAGCTATCCTTCATTTAACATTACAGAATGGTTTTACTTTATTAACAGTTCACCTAATTGTCCCTTTGTAATGTACTATAAAGTTTGTTTTCGTTCCATACAGATAAAAGAATGTCTTTGTTGTTGTTGTTGTTGTTGTTGTTAGCAACTGGATTATTTTGATATTTCTATTTAAATTGTTGATATAATGGGCATCTAAAACACTAAAACATTTAGGAGATTTTGGTCTGCCAGAGTTAAAAACTTGTAAATCAAGCATAAAATTTTCAGGAAATATTCATAATTCAGTTACAAAGTGGTTGCCATGTATAATAATCAGTTAGGAGAGAGAAAGGGATTGTTGGACAACAGTTTTGCAAAGTATTTCAAGATGTTTGTATCTTCTGTAATACATGCAAGTATATAATTTTCACATGAAAGATCAAAGGACCACTTAACCATTCTCTGTCTCTACCTGCCACATTTCTGAAGCTTTTCATAAAATCACTTACAGTAAGAAAAAGGATTGGTCTACCTTGAAAAATCATAATGTCATAGATGTAGAGCTGGAAAGGTCTTCAGAGGCCTCCTCATCCAACCTCCTTTTTTTATAGATGAGCAAACTGAGGCCCAGGAAATTTAAATGACTTGCCCAAGGTCACCTAGGTTCTAAGTTTCAGAAGGATTATTTACTTCTACCTTCAGTTTTCCTCCCTCATAAGACTACTGGTATCTTTGTTGAACCACAGTTTGACTTGTCCATGTATTATATACACAATAATTTTTGTAGAACTTTTTTGTTTGAATTTTCATTTTTTATATATTTTTCTCCATAGATGAGTCTCATCCATCTGTCATTTTGTGTGAGTTCCCTGTGTAGATTTTTCTCATTGCCTCATCTGAAAGTATTCACTCCTTTATTGAATTTTGCTTAGACACATTGACTGGCCCTTTCTTGTTTCCCCTTTATACTCTTTCTTGTATGAGTGTGTCAGCATGTATATATGCATGTATGGACCACAAAGTGAAAATACTAACAAAAATGGTGTCTGATCTATTACTATTAGCATAGTTATTTATTGTTTGTGTTTTTTTCTTTCTTATCCTCCAAGATGTCGTTCCTTAATCTTCTCTTTTAAATGCTTAGATGCTGTGTCATTTGGTGTGTATGGGTGTGGGTGTGAGTGTGGGTAAATATTAAGGATTGATATTATTTTATTATTCATGGTCCCTTTAATTGTAATGTAGTTTGAATCTTTATCTTTTTTCTTATGCTCCCTTTATTAATTACTGTTTTCTCTGTGTTTTTGTTTATAATTTATGTTAATATTTCTACCTTTTTGCATTTATTTTTTATTTGTGCCCAAAGATGTGAGTAGTTTTATAATTTTGTGAAGATACCATGTGATGCTGAATGTATACATTCTTCAATATCCGCATTCAGAAGATGCCATGAACCTTTCTTAATAAATGAAATTTTTTCATCAGTTTGTTCAGCTTCTTTATGTTTTATTAGTTTTTGTTATGTTTTGTTAGCTATGAAAAAGGAACATTAAAGTCTCCTGCAATTATTGTATTACTATCTGGTTTTTTAAAATTCAGTTAGATTTTCCTCTAAAAACTCAGATATCGTGGCCTTTATTGCATATACATTTAATATTACATATTAAATATATATAATATAAATTATATAATATAAATAACATTATTATTTATAAACATATTAAATAAATACATTATATGTAATATAACAATATATTTAAGCACAGTGTAGTTCCCTCTCTTTGTCTCTCTGAAAGTTCTCAATTTTTATTATTGCCTTATTTTGAAGCTATCAATTCAACTCCTGCCAAAAACATAAAAATTTCATTCTAGCTCTCACCTTTGTTTGGTGTGTCTTAATATTATAAATGTGTTTTTTGTATGCAGCAAATTGTTAGGATGTATTTTCTTGTCTGTTCCACCATAGCCTTTCATTTCATTGTAGTGTTCAACCTGCTCACATTTAAGGTTATAATAGTTTTGTGTTTTCTTCAGCTTATTTAATATTTATCTACCCCCTCCTTTTTTCTTCCATTAGAAAGTCAAAACTTGGCCCAAGACAAGTTTTGCTAACACAAATTGGATTTGAGTAATCTCATTACTGTCAGTCCCCAACAAAGATCCCCTTTCTTTGTCTGAAATACAGTCCTAGGAAGCTCAGCTATTGCTCAGGAAAAGAGTATCCACTTCTTCTAAAGGAAAGCTGTTGCAAGACCCCCTTTCCTCCCTCCCTTGCCTCCAAAAGAATGCACCTTGGCATCCTCTTTACCACCTCTGGTAAGACTAAAACTCCTGCTTCTCCTCCATAGACTCCTTCCCACAAGCAAAACTGCTCTTTCCATACTCTCATGGGTCCCTAGCAAGGCTAGAGATTAAATAAATCTCACTTCTCTTATCTTCTCAATCCTAGGCCAAGCATAGGTATCTGTGACTTTATTGTCTCTTATCTCACTTCTCCCTACCTGATTCCCTCTATGTCTCTCTTGTCTTTTGTTTCTCTTTCTAATTTATTTTTCTTTTAATTTTTCTTATTTAAAATGTTTAAATATTGAATACCCTTCTTAGCCTTGGTTTCTTTTGAAGAATGATTCATTTCTATATTTTATTGAAAAGCCAATTTTTCTTTTGGTAATTAGTCTCAGCTTTGTGGTTTATATATTATTTTAGTATGCAACCATATTTTTTTGGAACATCATATTCCAGTCTCTTCTTTGATTTCTCTTAGAGGAAGTTACTCCCTGGCTATTTAAATTTATTTTTCTTGACAGTTGAATCTTTCTCTTAGCTGCCTGTAACACTTGTTGTTTGACAGAAATCCTGAAGCTTAAAATTTTGGAATTTCTATTTTATTTTGACCTTTGTTGCCAGTGTGCTGAGGCTTGTATGCATTATTTGCTGCAGCATGGTATTTGTTTTTTTAATTCATCATGTTTCAGTGAGACATTTGTGGTTTGTTGCTATCTCAAAAATCAACAATGCTCTTACCTGATGGGAGCAGGGATGGAATTGAGACAGGGGTTTTGCTAGATCCTTTCCATGTGAAAACTTCAGAAAAAAGAAAGCCACAGCTTGGTTTACCCCAATCTGGCTTAATACTGCTAGGATCTCTTCTCTCTCTCACTTCATTACCACTTTTACCTCTTTTAGCAATTCTTGTTGGCCTTATATCCAAATTGCATTTTTTCCTTGAGGCTTTGCTTGTAACTTTTTTCTTGTTTGTTCATTTTCCCAGCCTATTTCTTGACTTTGAACTTTATGTTAAAGTTAGGCTCTGCTCACTCTGGGGGGCATGAAGGCACCTTGCCAAGCTTCAGGTTTCTTCAAACTTCGGTTTTCCCAGTAAGTTTTTAGTGCTTCCAAGGTGATATTTTTCAGTGAGAGTTATAATCACCATTCTGGGCTAGGCTATGGCCCTTTCCCAGGAAGGGCCCCAGCTTCCTTGCAACTACAAGCTTTCCTTTCCTCCCTGGGACTGTAACCCAGAACTGAGTATTGGCAATGCAGTTGCCAGACAACTCCTGATCTTGTACCCAGTGCCAGCACAGGGAGATCCTGTAATCCCTTTCTGACCAATTGTTGAAGCCCCTTACCATCTGTAAGCCAAAAGCTCCCAAAGTTGCTGCTGCTGCTGTTGCTGCTGTTATAGTTGTTTTCAAGGCCAAGAGCTAATGATGTTGTCTCCTGTACTGTGGGCCAGCCCTACCTCAGTATCAGAAACCTCTCCTTCCAAACTCCTATCTTATGCTGGAAAAATATCTCACTTTACCTCTGGTTGGCTTTGTCACCCCAGAATTTGATTTGAGGTGTTATTTTAAGGTTGTTTGCAGGAGAATGTTGGGAAAGCTTAGCTGTAATGCTTCCTCTATGCCACCACCTTGGCTGTGCCCTCCAGTCTCACATCTCCAGTTGCCTATTAGACATTTCAAAATCAATCAGTCAGTAAACATTTAAGTGTCTGCTGTGTGCCAAGCACTGTGCACAAAATAAAAGATAGATAGATAAAAGATAAATAAAAATAAGAGATAGTCTCTGCCCTCCAGGGACTCACAATCTAATGGGAGAGACACTATGAAAATAAGTAAGTATAAACAAGCTATACATATTATTTGCACATAGTTAATTTTATGTTGTCTCACGCATTAGACAGTGAATTCCTTGAGAGGAAAGGTCCTTTTTTGCCTTTCTTTGTATCCCTGTCACTTTACACAGAGCCTGGCACATAGGAGATGCCTTATAAATGCTTATTGATTGAATGAGTGGTATATGACTAACAGGAGGTCTTTGATGGTAATATATGGGAAACCTTGATTCTTTTTTTAAAAATTTATTTATTTTTAGTTTTCAACATTCATTTCCATAAGATTTTGAGTCCCAAATTTTGTCCCCATTTCTCCCTTCCCCCCACCCCAAGACACCATGCAATTTGATATAGTCTCCTATTTTCACTTTAGTCATATTATAAAGAAGAATTAGAATCAATGAGACAAACCATGAGAAAGAAGAGAGAGAGAGAGAGAGCGAGAGAGAGAGAGAGAGAGAGAG